TTTTCCACCGCTGCTCGTAGTAAAATACAAAGCCTCAGAAAGCTACTACAACATAATATTCCGTATTTATTATGATAATTATTTATGATTATAAATGATGATGATGATGGTAATGGTTAATGATGATATTGAATATAATAGAAATTACTATGATAATTAATAATGATATCAAATGATGATAATGATGATTAGGTGATGATGATTTTGATAAAAATTGTAATAGAAATAATAAAATTGATTATGAAAATAAATGATAGTTATGACATTGATAATAATGATGATGGTGGTGATGATGATTTTGATACTTATGGTAACAATAATGATAATTAAATTGTTAATAAATGATTGTGACAATGATGAAGATAATGATAAATCTACAAAAGTTTATTTTATGACAAAGTAAGCACTAATTATAGACTAACCTATATGTATAGCAACTTTCATTTCTATGGGACTCAGAAGCTATTAGATTGAGAAATATGCTGTGTGTTTAATAGCATGTCTTAACCTTTACCTTCCTGGATCCAAAAGTGATGAATTAGTCAGAGCCAGCCACAGACTGACCTAACCATGCAGGCTGACTTATAAGTTACTGGCGTCCTCTCTATTTCTTATGCTCCCCAATGGGAGAGCAAATAGTCACCGCCTTGTCAGTCTATCTGTCCGTCCTTACAAACATATAGATACTTAGGTGGCTATGAGAACAATAGGTAACAGTCCTTTGATGCTATTCATTCAGTAAGCTCTTATGTGACTACTTTTTCCCTTACTTTGCTAAAAGAACAATAGAGAGAAGAAAAGAGTAGCCACCTAAGTACCAAACTTTGAGCACATCCATCTGTCCATCCATTTCCTTGTCCGGAGCATAACTTGATAACCCTTAGAGATAATCTGTTTAAACTTCACGCAGTGGAGAGGTCAATGAGGCGAAGTGCAGTGTAAAAGAATCATTACTCTTTTGCCCCGCTTTTTAATTATCTCCCCTTTAAGAAAAAGAGATATCAACATGAAACTTTGTAGTTTAAGATAGATCTCAATGGGTAGATGTGCAATGCACAAGAACTGTTACTCTGCCTTGCCTAATTTTGAAGTTATTGCCCTTTGTTCATTTTTACACTTTGAACTTTCTCAAGATTATAAATCTAAAATTAAAAGAGATGTCAACATGAAACTTTGCAGGTAGATAGATCTCATTAGATAGAAATGCAGTGCAAAAGAACCATAACTTTGTTTTGTGCCCTGTTTTTGAATAATCTTCCCTTTTAGAAAAATTTTGTCTGGGACATAACTCTAAAACTATAAGAGATATCAACATGAAACTTTGTAGGTAGATATATCTCAATAGGTGAATGCGCAGTGCTTAAGAACTGTAACTCTGCCTTGCCTAATTTTTGGAGTTATTGCCCTTTGTTCTTTTTCAAACTTTGAACTTTGTTCAGGACATAACTCTTAAATTACAAGAAATATCAACATGAAACTTTGTAGGAAGATGAATCTCATTGGGTAATAAAAGTGCAGTGCAAAAGAACAATAACCCTGTTGTGTCCGGTTTTTGTATTATCTCCCCTTTTAGAAAAATCTTGTTCAGAACGTAACTCTAAAACTATAAGAGATTTAAACTTTGTAGGTAGTTAGATCTTTTATGGGTAGATGTACAATGCACAAGAACCATAACTCTGCCTTGCCTAATTTTGGAGTTATTGCCCTTTGTTCATTTTTACACTTTGAACTTTGTCTGGGACATAACTCGGAAACCATAACAGGTATCAACAAGAAACTTTGTAGGTAGATTATAAGATCTCATTAAATAAAAGTGCAGTGCAAAAGAACTGTAACTCTGCCTTGCCTATTTTTGGAATAATTGTACTTTGTCCAGGGACATACATGTATCTTCGAAATTACAAGAGGTGTACTTTTCTGTGTCCAAAACCTATTTGGGGAGCATCACCGGGTTCAAACCGGGCTCTTGTTTGTATTTGATATTGAAATCCCTTAATGTCAAATGGACTATTCCACATTAAAAGTTGGACAAATCCATTATGCAAATTCAGCAGCTTAAAGGAACTCCACCGAGATCCAAAAGCCTAAAAACATAAAATTTTAATTTCTTACATATATCACTTAGGAACTTACAACATAAAGATATGCGCAAGATAATTATAAAATTTACTAAGAAATACATTGAAAATTATATTTTTATGCTATCCTTAGGCCAATTTGAGTGGAAAGCATTGCACAATCCTGAAATGTCAAAAAATCTCAGAGGAGTCCCTTTAATAATATATCTCATTTTGAAATTAACACAATTTCTATCTATTAACACATTTAAATTTAATTTAATTGAAATGGAAGATCAACAAAGAAATCCTATATTAACCTGCCATAATTATGATTGCTAAATCATTTTCAATTACAATTCAATTATAAAAGCCAACTTAATTAACTGAAAAGCTATAACCCTAACATTTGGCTGCAAATGAAAACATATTGATAAAAATTACAAAACATAATATTGAAAACCTTTATTAGATATTGAACCATACAGGAATGCTATTCATTCATTTCTCGTTTTTTCGACAACATTCGCCAAAAATATGGATTGTAAGTTGACATTGAAAAATATTTCGTTAATTGAGATAGTTGAATCTTTTGCGATAACTGGCATTTAAGTTAATGTCGAAACGATTTATTGTACGATATAATTAAGATTTTTCAAAGGGAGCAGTCCTGTCGTATTTGCATTGGAAATTAAAATGTAAACAATCCTTTCAGAATGACTGCCAATAACGGTAATGTTGAAGGCGGCAATTTTTTTATGTAAATTATTATTATTGATTGTATAGTGTACATTATCGTAATGATTATCTATGAAATTGGATGATTAATGATTTGATTTTTATAATGTGAAATATAGAAATTGACAATAGCCTTGATCATCTATTTCAAATGGTATGGGTTTTTTAACAGTATTGGCTCAGGTTTAATTTGAATATTTTTGAGTGCTATAATCAGAGATTATTAAAGACTTATGTCTCCAGCTTTATTTGTTGCGTTGCTTTGACCATGCAGTCTGACTCTATACTGCAGGGCTGCATTTCATAGAAAGTCTTAAGTGTGTCCTATAAAGTCCTAGGATATAAAACCAACTCTAGGACTAACTAAAGACCGTTTTAATAAAAGTTTTTACCTTCAGTCAAAGACTGTAAACTGTAATCAAATTGAATTTCCTGACAGAAGTTAAGAAATACAATGACAGACCCTTTTATTTGAAATGTGATATTGCTCATCTGTATAATGTATTCAGAAATTAAAAGAGTCATGATCCTTAAGGGTTATTTTCTCCATGTATCAAACATTACTCTATGATAAAATAAGAATCCAAAAGTTTGTGAAATTTTACATCAAACTTAAGTATAGATGTTGTTTTAAAATTAACTGTATGCTATACTTATAATAATTATAGAGTTTTATAATTTAAAATGGTCGATCTAAGTTTTTCTTTAAAAAAGACTTGATGAATATAAGGCTGGCATGTAGCTAATATGTTGTAAGTTTTAGGTGCACTAGAAGATTTAACTTCCTATGTGACTATACCAGAAATTACGCTATTGGTATTGTTGGAGTTAAGAAAATCACATTAATTTTCTGATCGAACTCAAACCCATGTCCTAAGATTAGATTTCTGGTGGTGTATACGCAAACAATAACAAAATACAGCTTACAAAGCTAAGAGCTGATACCCTCTGTACCAATGCCCATAAAAATGTTAGGCAATTTATTGTGTTTTTTTTTAATGTTTAAAAATTTAAATTAAATTGCATATTTCAGTAATATTTTTTTTGTATATTATGCTCCATAAACATAAGCAAAATTAAATGTTTGAAAAGGACTGACGATAATAAATTCATGAAATTGTTTACCCAAACATTAAAATCTTTAGATACCATGGGCCAGGTTTTCAATGAGGATAATCTTATTAGACTATAGCGGCACATAAAACGCAGTTTTTGTAATAATGGCAGAGCACTATGTCTTTTTTTTATCTATTTATAATAAAATTTACGTTGTTGAAATACCTGTCGAATTTATGCAATGTCATCAGAATTTTATCATACAAATAATACCAGGCTATGTTTGTATACCCATATTGTTATAGTCCCAAACTAGCTTAATTATTCAAATAATAGTGGGGCTATCCGTAACTCGTAACTCACCTGAAGTGTCTTTTTGAGTGTAGGTGTAACACTTTTGTAATAGTTTTACATAAAAATTTTTTTACAGCTACATATATCTTCAACCACTAACAATATTTACTTGTAACTTCACACATGTCTTTGGAGGTCACTATCCAAGACCCATAACTCTGATATGAATTTTAACTTAATAATATCCTTTTGTAAACTTAGAAAATTCATGGTTAAAGTTTTGTGTGTATAGCATCTTTTTTTTAAAAGATATTGCAGGCATTCTCATGAAATTTAAACATGTCTCCAGGATCATAATTTGGGGTCGCTGTCTAAGTCCCATAACTCTGACATGATTTTTTGACTGAATTAAGGGCCTTTGTGAACATTAAGGCCATGCAACATTAATCTTCAAAACTAACTGAAGGTAGTAGAATGTATTTGGGATCTTATGGAGGTTGTAACAATCCAAGGCCAAAATTACTGCATGAATTTAGACTGATTTAATAATTGTCACTTTGTGAACTGAGTATCAGCTCTAATGTTCATGTTATTTTAATGGAAAAAAAATGCAGTCAACATTGAACATTCAACAAAATCATTGTGGTGTCTATCTGAACTGCCTGAAGTACTTATTTTTTTCATTTTTCCAGTTTAAACTGATTTATACAAAGATGGTACTTGTTGAAACAGAATCTCTAGGAACACTTGTATGGTACATGTAAGTGCCTTCTTGTATATGATAATCTGTCATTTTACCCAAACTAAATGGGTACCGGTAATTAAACGATAATTCAATATATTGTTTAATTTCAGAGCATGAGGGATGAGGTTCCATAACCATAGTACGTTTAGTGACGAGGAGGTACAGTCCGGGTCGGCAACAGGTTTCTCTGACGGAGAACGAGAAGAATCTCCAAAATCTGCCGGTAGAATGAATAGCACATTTGACCCAGTGACCCAGATTCTAGACAAAATTGACGCGGAACTTGTATCACTTACAAGATCTCAAGGGGTATGTTTTTTTAAGTGTGGCAGTAAATCATGTTTGTTTGTTTGATTGGGTTTTACGTCACATTGGTAACTTCATTTTTCATTTGATAACGGTGGCGTTAATATAGTTTTATATACACGGGTGCTGTCAATTTTTGAAGATTTTTTTTTCCTCTAAATAAGGGAGTTTGCTGGATCATTAATTCATTAGAAAGATATTTGACAGGTTAAACGGTTGTGTATAAAAGGCTGTTTTCAATATTACCCTTGCCTAGTGGCTTGGGTTAAATATACAAACAACCATTAAAATAGAATCATATAACAGGTCAAAAATCTTTACTAATATTATCTTGGCTCTGTTAGCTAATAAAGAAATCATGTTAATTTTGAGGCAGCGGGGGTTATGCTTTTCGACTGACCATTATGTCTCTGCAGACACCATTTGTTTTTCACTGTGAACATGTTGAAATTGATGTAGTGAATCGGTGGTCATTATAACTTAAACACCTAAATAAAATAAGCAGTGCAAGGTAATAATCTTGAAGAATGGAAAACAAAATACGAAAAACAAGCTTTTAGAAAAACAAAATTTCTAAACATTTTTATTTCAAATTACTAGTCTTGCTCTATGTGATGTTGATGTTCATGTCTTGTTACAGAGTAGTAGCACTGCTACTACAGGAACTGATAACACTGTCATTAGAAGACCCAACAGTAGACAATCACTGGAGAACAGTAGACTGGACAATGGTGATAGTTTATCACTCAGTCAACTAGGTAGGCTTGTTTAGTTAGTATTTTATTCCTTGGTCAATTTTGGAGGTCTGATTTAAGTTATTAGTGACTTGTAAGATAACTTGACAGTTGGCTGTATACACTTGTAACAGATGAGAAATCTTACAAGTTACTGATAACTTTAATGAAACTTTAATGAAACTTCCATAGTTGACTAAAGTCAACCCAAAACCAAAAATGTATGCTGAAAAGACAACCCAAAACTAATTTAATATGTATGCTTTAAAATCAGCTCAAAACCAGTAATGTATGCTGTAAAGACAACATATGCTGTAAAGTCAACCCATAACCAATACTGTGTGCTGTAAAGTCAACCCATAACCAATTATGTATGCTGTAAAGTCAACCCATAACCAATTATGTATGCTGTAAAGTCAACTCAAAACCAATAATGTATGCTGTAAAGTCGAGCAATAACTAATAATGAATGCTGTAAAGTCAACTCAAAACCAATAATGTATGCTATAAAGTCAACTCAAAACCAATAATGCATGCTGTAAAGTCAACTCAAAATCAATAATGTATGCTATAAAGTCAACTCAAAACCAATAATGCATGCTATAAAATCAACTCAAAACCAAAAATGCATGCTGTAAAGTCAACTCAAAATCAGTAATGTATGCTGTGAAGTCAACCCAAAACCAATAATGCATGCTGTAAAATCAACCCAAAACCAGTCATGTATGCTGTAAAATCAACCCAAAGTAAAGTCAACTCCTAACCAGTAATGTATGCTGTAAAGTGAACCTGTAAACAGTAATGCATGCTGTAAAATCAACCCAAAACCAATATTGTATGCTGTAAAATCAACCCAAAACCAATAATGTATGCTGTAAAGTCAACCCCTAACCAATAATGTATGTTGAAAAATCAACCCATAACCAATAATGTATGTTGTACAGATTTTCTCCTCATTCAACCCATAATAAGTATTTTATGTTATAAATGGCCTTTCTTCCTAGGTAACAAGTTAAACTTCAAGATTTTCATTCATTTTCAGACTATATTCACAAGTTTATAATGATGAAGAGATATTTCAGGGTTACTATATTTTATGTAAAGAACTTTGCCCTGTTTTCTACAATGAGCCATTTAATCTGCATGATCTTGATTTTATCTTTGTTGAAAGTAATAATGAACAAGAACCATCCACTTTATGCAACAATTATGATCCAAAACTTTTATTTTAAATCTGTAGAAGAATAAACAGACAGAATACTTTAGCTTAGACTTGTATTTGAAATTAATGTTGAGGTAATTGACTCAATTATAGAGGTAATTTTAGGTTAATTTAATCGGTTCTTTTTAAGCTTTAGCAGGCAGTTATATAATTTGTCATTCAATTCACTAAATGTTTTTGAAGACATTACATATCAGAGGTGCACGTGTAATTTAGATTGTGCAGAATGTTTAACTCTTTGAATGCTAGGGGTTATGATCATTTACCTGTGCTAGCTAAGACCAGTATCGTGCCAGGCAAGTCTGGATATCTGTGCAGACAGACCCACCGACAAAAGGTACCTGTAATCTAGGGATATCAAAACCCGAACATTAAAAGTGTATAACCTCCAGTATTTTTTCTTGAAAGGCTGAGTTGACTCTATGGTGGCTGTTATATTCTGTAAACGGCAGATATCTTTTGCTTAGTACACGGCTGAACTTAAGCGCTAAAAGAAAAACTGTAAAATTTGAACCCCTTTGATAAAGAAGGGTATTGTTACAGGAGTGGCCTTTAAAAACAAGTATCACTGAAAATTAAAGTTTGCCGTTCATCTTTGTTTTTCAGGTCCAAACTTCAAACCATCACTATCATTACAAAGTGAACAAGATACTGGTATAGGAACCGGTAGTATACAAGATAGCAGCTTACAACATAGAAGCCTGGAGCCAGAAATAAGACCTCTAGAGCCGGGTGACAGTTACAGAGGTAAGGTATTTGTGTCCAGAAACAGAACCCATTCTGGTTATTCTAAAAAAGTTTTTTTTTTTTTCTTCCATATGATATAAAAGAAATGACAAATATTTTCTTATTTTACGCTTTTTACTAACAAGTGCATGAAATATAATTTCTTTCGTTGGAGGAACGATCGAATTATAAGGAAATTTTTTCCCTTAAAATAACATAGTCACTGTCAGGATATTTAGTAAAGCGTGACATGAGTGCACGATATTTTCGTGCAGTATTTCTGTCTGTGTAAGATCAGCTTTGGGTAATTGCCCGGTTTACATTGTTTAAATTTTTAAAAAAAAAGAAAGTTAATACCGTAATTATGAATAAAGTATGCTTCATTCATAGGTAAGTGTGAACATGAACAGATATGCATTTGTAAATTTGTAAAATGGTGTCAAAGTGTTTTCTTTAAAGTAGTAGATAAATATTATTGTGTGATATAAAATATGATTAAATATTGTATGCATCGTTGTACCATCAGTTACCCTACAAATTACAATTTGATATTGATAGTTAGACTCAGTTGTGCTTTTATTGCTTTAATGTGACTTAGTAGATTGAGGGAATTTACAAATGCATACAGGCCTATGACATTATCATATTCATATCACTTGATGAAATTATATAGAAAAACTTGCATATCCTCTATATATTATACAGATGACTTGAGGAGACATCATCAACGATCATCTACTGCTCCAGAAATGATGTTCCTGAATGGACACCATATGAGCGATGGTAAGTTACAGTAAAAGAAACCTGCACTTTAATGCATGGATTTAAGGGGGCAATACACAGTTTTCAAGGCTTCTCGGCAAACAACTGACTGCGCCACAATCAAAACCTCACACACAAGTCTGTAATCACACACCTGAAATAAATGCATTTCATATTTAACATATACATATGTATCTCACAGCAAACAATTAAAAATACATGTCCACCTTCTAGTTTTCTGGCACATAGCCCTGTGTTTTTCATTGTTTTGGTCGCGAAAATCAACGACAAAAATAGCGGATTACCCCTATTCGCAAAATACAACAATATATTAACGTCAAAAGATTAAATCACAAGCTATAGTGATTCTTCCTTCTTAAACAATGCACAATCTGAAAATAACATCCAAACGGGGAGTCATGCACCTACTTTTTTCACTATTTTAAGTCTTCTGCATACCCTTTAAATTGAAGAGCTGATTCACCGCCTAGCTCCAAAAACCACATGTTCGCATCCGACAGGTGCTCTCTCAAAAAAGCAAGGGTTAACGCCACTAAATTCAATTTTACTAAATAACTGAAACACAATACTAGTCATTGAAACTTGAAATATAGTAACTATAAACATTTAGAACCTCAAATATCCACTTCAATTTCAAAACTGTCTCTTATTTGTAAATTCCACCCTGGCCAATTCGAAACTAAACAGCCGAAACTGTGTACTGCCTCCTAAAGTAAGTAAAACTGAATATATAAGCTGCATTAAAATTTTGGTGTTTTTGACTCTTGTCAGTTCTTTTCTCATTTTTTTTTAAGAAATATTTTGTTCAACATTATAACTTGATATTTTAGCTAAGGCACATTAAATTTTATGACAATACATGTTCATAATTATTTGATATTACAAACATCAAATGATGTTAAATTGCCAAATTGGCATTTCCATTATTTATTGTTTCTAGCTTCATATTTAGTATCAGATCTCAAAATGCGACTCAGATATATTTTCCACATCCTTTTTAAGTAGCAAACGGCCATAATTCAGAAATGTATTAAAATTATTGTTACATGTGTTCAGTAAAATATATAAATCAGCCTTGCTGAATGTGACAGTTTTTGGATTACTATTGCAATATCCAATTACTATTGCAATATCAGGGACTGTAACCTTTAAAATTGAGCCTCATAAATTTAGGTTGTAGTTCATTACTTAAGAGTACCTCCACTAGGTCCAAAAACCTAACAAGGACAAATTGTAAATTTTGTGTGATATTCTTAATCCAATTTTAGTAAAAAGTGTTGGGAGGCTTTCCATTTTTGGGTCATTTTGCACAATAAAAATAGTGATTCTAGAAAACAGGGTGAAGAATGGCCTGAAAGTTTGCACACAAGTTGTTCATCCAAACCGACATCAAATGGTACAAAAATCTGGTGAAATATTTCTAGTCCCGCCATACCAATAAAAAACTCAGTGGAGTCCCTTTAAAGCAGTACACCTCTAGATTCCTGCTAATTTTCTTCATAGACGCTTGGGGGTTAGATCCTGCCCCCAACATGATAAGCCCCTGTAAACACTATCAAAACTATTTTGATATTTAACCACGAATGGGACATCTATTACAACAATAAAAATGGCTTTCAAACAATTTTTACATATTTGAAAAAAATACCGTATACCATCAAGTCTCAATAACTTGATGGTATACGGTATTTTTTTCAAATATGTAAAAATTGTTTGAAAGCCATTTTTATCGTTGTAATAGATGTCCCATTCGTGGTTAAATATTAAATAGTTTTGATAGAGTGTTTACAGGGGCATATCACATTTGAGGGGGGGGGGGCAGGATTTGACCCCCAAGCGTCTGTGACTATACATGTATTAATTAAACCAATGTCAAGTAAATAAACAAATCAAGTGAAAAAGGACATTCATTGAAAAACAAGTGCGCCAAAAACAACTTTTAGTCTAACTATGTTCAAAGGTTATACTTTTAAGATTAAGTGATATAAAAATGTAATCCATTTAATTTTTACTGTGCACCATAGTCTAGATCTATGGATTAAGCTACGATTAATTTTTAATCCATCGATTTAAACCTTTTTTTTACAACTTCGGTCAGCATGAATTTTTTTCAACCTTTGTTTAGCATTAAGCATGTTAGTTTAATAGTGAAACTTGCATATATATATCGTGTGTGAGAGAGAAGAAAAGGATATGTAAATTGTTGAAATTGACATCGGAATCATTGGAGTTTACGAGAGGTTTTGAACATAGGACTTTTTAAAAAAAATTTTTAAGAAAGAGAAATAGAATTGTTTGAAATAGTGGGTTGATTTTTACATTTGAGCCGTGTCATGACAAAACCAACATAATTGGTTTGCGACCAGCATGGATCCAGACCAGCCTGCGCATCCATGCAGTCTGATCAGGATCCATGCTGGTTGCTATCAGTTTCTCTACTTGTTATATGGTTTGTAAGCGAACAGCATGGATCCTGATCAGACTGCGCGGATGTGCAGGCTTGTCTGGATCCATGCTGGTCGCAAACCCATTATGTTGGTTTTGTCATGACACGGCTCATTTTTTTCTCTATGAATTTTGGATGTTTGACAATGACAAAGAGGTTTAAAGTGGAAGTAATACAATTTGTAGCAAGCTTTAGAATAAAGAAATGCATTTGACTGTCTTATATATCAGAAAAATTTGAGTTAGCAGCTAAAAAATATTAAGCGTTCAACTTAAATCTTGATATTTGTGCAATAAACATGATTCGCTTTAATGTATTAAGTAAAATTTCATAAGCACGTCTGAGATTAATAGAAATTACTGGAAATTTGACTTTGGGAGAAAAAATGATACAATGTATATATTAAAATTGGCAATGAAAAAGTTAAATAAACATTTTTTTTCTAATTTTAAAATCAATATTTTAAAATCAACATTTTAATAATTTTCATTAAAACTGCTCTGAAAGCTTTCCTCTGTCAATGAATGATATAATATAAAACAAATGAAAAAAGCTTTCAAGGGGATTACAAAAATGGTCAAATGTTAAGTGACATATAGAAATCCTGATTGACAGTAAGTCATCCTTCCATCAGTGACATATGATAGGAATAATATGCTTATAGGAAGAAATCAATTTAGGTCACAGCAGGTGCCATCAGTATTATTAGTTAATAAGCTATTTGTCATGTTCAGTCATGCATAACTACAAATTAATATCATCAAATAGAAATCATGTATTGATACTTCACAGGCCACAGGAATAAATAGAGAAAATAAACTGCCATCGAAAAAAATATGACTCCATAGGGAATGCAAGCATATAGAGAAAATTGATTGCTCGATTATTTGTAAATTTTAGTACACTTAATTTAATTGGCTATTTATTTTCAAGTTGATCAGTATAATAGGTATTTAAGGTTAGACATGGGGATTTAAAGTCATTTAGGAATGGAATGATATTGATAAAACATCTTTTACCAGTAAGGCTTATCTTAAATTTCCAATCAACTTTCATGACATTTGAATTATTTGTAAACAATGCTGTCTAATAAATTTTTATAGAAAGTTGAGACTGAGTTATAACTGAGGTTTTTGAAAAAAAAACAGGCTATGTTAAGGTACAGCTAAGACTTCTTTATCCCTAACCCTGCTGAATTTCTTAAATGGATTTGTCTGAATTCCAGTTTTGGAACTATCAATTACCAAGTTTAGGGGTATTAATCAGTCAACAGTATAGAGCCTGGTCAGACCGCATGGATGTGTAAATTGACCTGGCTTTCTACTGATGGCAAAGGCAAGTCACAATCTGTTCCAGCATGGTAATGATTACAGAATGTCAGGGTATACCTGTTTTTATATTCCTAATTTCCCATCCGTCTCCTTTCTGAACAAACCATATATCTTTCTATTCATTTATTAAATTGTTTTTCACAATTCAAATTACACATGTATATTACTTCCAACCCCTATTGTGTTGGTTTTTTTTTTCCGAGATAACCATTCCTGAGTTTGTATGTTTTGAATCAATCCATTATTTCAAACAGTCAGTTTAAGAATCAAAAACCTATGAGAGGGAAGACTTGTGTTTTTACCAGTAGCTGAAGAATTATAAGAGAAAAATAACATTAAAAAGTGACAATTAATATTTATTTCAAAAACTAAGAAATTATGGCAAAAGCTGTGAGTAGTGGAAGAAATACGCCGTCTGCTGATAATGTGAATTTTAAATCAGACTGTGTCAATATTTACATTATAACAGATGACAAACAGAAACGTGAGAACCAGACTGGCTCACCTTTTGAAGCCAAGCAGGTGGATGACAAGTTTAAAGAGATATTACAGAAGAGGAAAGGTGAGATATATTCATTTGATTACTTTTATTTTGAAGGAATATCGGGTAATATATAGGTACTTCATGCAGTTTAATAAGAGTAAGTTATTATTGATGATTTAAGAAGGTAAACATCCAGAAAGAACAACCATTTTGGTATCTTCTAAGCTTAATTTTATACAGCTAAGCCAGCCTGCAAATCTTACCAGTCTGACCGGTGTCCGAGGTAATAAAGAATTTACTATGCTCAAAGACAGATCTTGGATATTTGGTTTATGCAGAATTTATTGGCCGAGTTGCACTGGTGCAAACCCGGGTTATAGTATGGTGAATGTTGGGCGGCGGGCGGCGGGCGGGGAAAAAACTTTCGTAACAGTTTTCTCAGCAACTACTTATCACAGCCTTTTGATATCTGGTATACAGCATCAATTCATGGTCCCATACTGTGGGATTCGATTTCAGGTCTGTCGCTCATCTACTTCCTGTTTGCTGACCTACTTAAATTTTCAGCATTAATGGTCAAGAGTAGGAAATTTTCGTAACAGTTTTCTCAGCAACTACGTATCACAGCCTTTTGATATTTGGTATACAGCATTAGCACATAATCCCATACTGTGGGATTTGATTTCAGGTCTGTCGCTCATCCACTTCCTGTTTATCCACTTAGTTGAATTAGTTAGATTTTTCGACATTAATGGTCAATGGTAGGAAATTTTCGTAACAGTTTTCTCAGCAACTACTTATCACAGCCTCTTGATATTTGGCATACAGCATTGACACATGGTCCCATACCGTGGGATTGGATTTCAGGTCTGTCGCTCATCCACTTCCTGTTAATCCACTTAGTTGAATTAGTTAGATTTTTCGACATTAATGGTCAATGGTAGGAAATTTTCGTAACAGTTTTCTCAGCAACTACTTAGCACAGCCTCTAGATATTTGGCATACAGCATTGACACATGGTCCCATACCGTGGGATTTGATTTCAGGTCTGTCGCTCATCCACTTCCTGTTTATCCACTTAGTTAAATTAGTTAGATTTTTCGACATTAATGGTCAATGGTAGGAAATTTTCGTAACAGTTTTCTCAGCAACTACTTATCACAGCCTCTTGATATTTGGCATACAGCATTGACACATGGTCCCATACCGTGGGATTGGATTTCAGGTCTGTCGCTCATCCACTTCCTGTTTATCCACTTAGTTAAATTAGTTAGATTTTTCGACATTAATGGTCTATGGTAGGAAATTTTCGTAACAGTTTTCTCAGCAACTACTTATCACAGCCTCTTGATATTTGGTATACAGCATCAACACATGGTCCCATACAGTGGGATTGGATTTCAGGTCTGTCGCTCATCCACTTCCTGTTAATCCACTTAGTTGAATTAGTTAGATTTTTCGACATTAATGGTCAATGGTATGAAATTTTCGTAACAGTTTTCTCAGCAACTACTTATCACAGCCTCTTGATATTTGGCATACAGCATTGACACATGGTCCCATACCGTGGGATTGGATTTCAGGTCTGTCGCTTATCCACTTCCTGTTAATCCACTTAGTTGAATTAGTTAGATTTTTCGACATTAATGGTCAATGGTAGGAAATTTTTGTAACAGTTTTCTCAGCAACTACTTATCACAGCCTCTAGATATTTAGCATACAGCATTGACACATGGTCTCATACTGTGGGATTTGATTTCAGGTCTGTCGCTCATCCACTTCCTGTTTATCCACTTAGTTAAATTAGTTAGATTTTTCGACATTAATGGTCAATGGTAGGAAATTTTCGTAACAGTTTTCTCAGCAACTACTTATCACAGCCTCTTGATATTTGGCATACAGCATTGACACATGGTCCCATACTGTGGGATTCGATTTAAAGTTTGCAGCTCATCCACTTCCTGTTCACATTTATGGTCACTGGTAGGAAATTTTCGTAACATTTTTCTCAGAAACTACTAATCACAGCCTCTTGATATTTGGCATACAGCATTGACACATGGTCCCATACTGTGGGATTCGATTTTAGGTGTGTAGCTCATCCACTTCCTGTATACCCTACTGAATTAAATTTTCGACATTAATGGGTCAATGAAAATTTTTTTTCAAAACATCACAGCCTCATGATATTTGGTGTACAAATGCAACCCGGCCTTTTCTGTCTTTGACCCATTTTTTTAGTTTGATTTTGTAAAAAGCTCTAAGCTCAAAATCTGTTCGTGGAACCATCAAGTAATGAGCAATGAGTGTAAAGTTTCTTGCTCAATGAAACAATGACTTACGGCACTTGCCCATGACAGGGTTTGAACCCATGCGCTGCTAGCGATCATTAGATAACTTGTCCGACGTGTTAACCACTCGGCTATGCTGCCACTTTCTTGGGTATTTGATTCGTCAGAAACCAGCACAGAATCTACACTGACCAATGAAAATCCTGAAATTCGAGACAGAACTCGGAAAACTATTTTTATAACCTCGAGACCAGGCTCTTTACTGTATGAAAGTAGCTCGCTTTTCATACTGAAATCATTAAAAAACAACTAATGGACAGTATCATGTTCAAAGCATGAAAAGTGGCATCCATGGTTAAGGTCTTTGACTTTACTTGCCCCTCACTGCTGTGGGTTCGAATCTAGACAGGCACTTTTGATTCTTTTATATTTGAGGAAGCTATCAGGTTAGCTTACGGAATGTTGGTGGTTCTTCTCAGACACCAGTTTCTGCAATAATAATAATAATAATAATGCAATTAATTAATTATGCGGAAGGGCACCTGAGGTCTTCTTCAAACAATGAAGCTGGAATGTAGCCATATGACCTATACTGTGTAGGTGTAACATAAAACCCGGAACAAACAAAACATAAAAATTCATTACATGTCAGCAGGCTTGTTAATAAATTCATGCATTAACATGTTCTGCATGATAGCTTGCAATGATTTCATGAAGTTACAGGAAATGTGGGGGCTGGAGTTTAGTGTCCTTGTATCCTGTATAGTTAATGTTTTAATTTTTTTTTGTTTTTGTTTGTTTGTTTGAACATGTTGAATACACTTTATTTGTCCTTCCTTATTTGCCGCTTTATGTCATGCTGTATTTATATAATGAGCATTAATTTTACATTTTAGTTGCAGTTTATATGGGATATATTGTTTGTTTTCAATGAATGTTATAGTACTAAAATGTCGCCATTTTGTCTTGTCGATCCATATGTAAGGGTATTTTTTTTGTCTGTATAAGTAAGCAGCATAAATAAGGTGAAAAATATTAGTCAGCTGACAAATTAATATTTAACTGTCCTTATCTTATTATGAATGTTGGGAGACATATATTGCTTTTACTGTCTGTCTGTTTGTCTATCTGTCAATCTGTCCACATTCAGCTTTTCCGGCTTTCACAGGTTAAACTGCTAATCGAATTTCAATGAAACTTCATAGGTTTGATAAGTACCATCCCTAGTTAGATATCACCTGCATGTTTCTGCTTCGCTGCACAAAATGGCAATCAGAGCTGTAAATAGAAAAATCTTGTCTCGCTTTCACAGGTCAAACTGCTTTTAAGATTTCATTGTAACTTCAGAAAAGTGATCAGTATCATTAGTACAGGTGTGCATGGCATCCACACTTTCGGCTGCAATGCACAAAATGGCCATCAGAGCTTTCACAGGTGTGATCAGTACCATACCTTGTTTTGGGAGACATATGTTTTTGTGACAAAAACACCTTCTAGTTAAAATGTCTTTACATGATTCTATTACATGACAACTTATAGTCTGTTAGTTATGCTGGTATATTATGTCTTAGATGTAAAATATTATTTTACTTAAAATGGTGAAAATTTAAATATTTTTTATGCTAAATTTCAGGAGGTGTTCATAAAAATGCTGAAGATGACACACAAACCATCAGAACTGAAGATTTTGTTGACAAATTTCAAGACACCTTAGTATATAGTTCAGGTAAAAATAGAATAAATGTTATACAGTCGAGACTGCCTTAGCGACCCCCTGATTTAAACGACTCCCTGTCTTATCCGACCTTGTTTCAGTACTCCCAACGTATTTTCCTATATAAATGGTCTGAATTAAACGACTCCCTGTCATATGTGACAAGCGACCCTAATTGTCAGGTCCCAATGCAATGTTTGGTCTGATTTAAACGACTTTCACACCTTTTAATTGTCTTTTAAATCAGATAAATAATACCTATTATAACACCCAGAGGGCCAAAATAATTAAGTCCAATTATAATCCAGTAGCAAACAAAGTCTACACACCTCTATCTCAATTACACAGTTGACATGTATAAATGCAGGTATCAAGTGACGTAGCGTCTGTTTATGGGAAGCATGACGCAATCGATTTGTGTGTAATGTACATTATGGCCTGAGTAAACTGGTTAAGACTTGTGTTAGATTTTTTTTTTAATTATAGAGTGCCCACGGAAGATTTTTTAGGCAGCATATTTTTTTTATTTACCTTTCTATGACTGCATAATTAATACGGAAAAATATTCATACTAAACCAGAAAAAGCTTTGGATATGGATATGTTGAAAGATCCTGTAACACAATTTTTCATGGTTTTATTTCATAAATATGATCCTCAAATTAAGATTTGTCAATATTGTAAGTTCAAATAAGCATTATTTATAAAGATATCACCCAATTTAACCGCCTCCGTGGTCGAGGGGTTAGAGTCGATGACTTCTAATCCAGTTACCTCTCTGGCGTGGGTTCGATCCCCGGGAGATGCTTTGGTAGTTTAGCGCGGAGGAAGGTAGTCTAGTACTGGTGTAACTCTCCAGGAACGATGGTTAGGAAACTACCCGCCTATATGACTGAAATACTGTTGAAAAAAGGCGTGAAATGAAGCAAACAAACAAACAAATTTAACATTTAATATAAATAAAGGCCATTAAAGGGAGGTAATTAGAACTTTATTTTCTATGAATTCTAAGTTAAATTTTCCAATACGTAATCAATGCATGTAATTTATTGATTAAATATAATGTGCACAAATATTTTCAGTACACATTTTACATGTTCTTTGATGTTTGAAAGTTGTTTTATTTGCATAATTATATCCATATATATTTTTTTGCAAGTGTTGTGTACACTCTGTAACAATATCAATCACAAAACATTAAGGATCTTTAAGTCACAATGGTATAGAGACAGCTAGATGATACTTAAAATTAATTTTCTTTGAGACTGTATTAAGAGACTCCCTGTCATATGTGACCTTTTTCTGAAGATCCCTTGGAAAGTCACATATGACAGTCTCGACTGTACATGTAAAATTTGAATTTGAAAACCAGTCTATTGATGCAGTAATTTCATTGGCTCAAATTTATCATGTGATTTATTCTTAACCAATCATATTCAAGAAAGACTGGTTTTCAACATGTACAGCAGACTGATATTTTTAAAAGAGTTTTCTGAGCTTATTTAGTTAATTCTTGCTGTCCTATTTTTCGTTAGAGAGTGGTTGTTCAGAAAAAGACAGTATTTTTAGATGTGCAAGCTTTATAGAGGTGATTTGCACTGGTTTTAATCTCTTCTAGATTTAAATAGATTTTGTTTATATATGCAAAGAAGTGAACAGTTGAATGACAATAGGCAATCACAAAGTTTCTCTCCTTTAAGCGACTTAAAGCATCTGCTAGTAATCATGAATGGGTTATTGCCCTTGAAACTTTTTCTCCCTTGCTTTAAATAAAGCATTGAGTCCTTTTTTTATAACTTAATAAATGCAAAATTAATTCAGAAGAAAGCATGAGGCTCAAGTTCTTTCAGATAGTTTACATGACAGCAAGATATTATACAAATTGCCTATTGACATCTTAATTTGATCAAGAACAAGCTTTTTAGTTTTGCTCAAGTTTTTACTACGGGTTAAGTTTTGCTCAAGTTTTTGCTACTGGTTTTAGTTTTGCTCAAGTTTTTAACTTGCTCAAGTTTTTACTATCAGTTTAGTTTTGCTCAAGTTTTTAATTTGCTCACGTTTTTACAACTAGTTTAGTTTTGCTCTTGAAAGTTTTTCCTTCTAGTAATATGTAACACTTGTTGAAATCTGTACATTTTCGAATTTCTTTCATGTAACTTTTAAGTGTTTTTGATGGTTTAAGTTATTTATGTTAGATAGTTTTAAATGTATTTCATTTTCTGATATGAGTTTGTATATTGCCTTTCCCCTTTTAAACTTTCTGAATTTGGTAGTCTTGGTGCAAATCCTTAACCTGGCCCTTAAATATCATATTTAGGGTTTGATGCAAAAATGTCATGTATCCAAAATAAAACAACTTGTCCCTCACAGCTGTGAGTTCGAAACTCACCAGGTAGAAAGCTATCCAGCTTGATGCATGGAGGGGCACCTTATGTCCACTGCCAGTAAAGCTGGAAAGTCGCCATATGACTTTACTGTGTTGGTGCAATGTTAAACCCAACCCCCCCAAAAAAGTATCCAAGAATTTCATGAACAAATGAATGGAATCATTCCATTGAATTTCAGTATCATTAGACATGTGCTTTGGTTTCTAGGCAGTGTAAACATATGTTATATCTTAAGTTTGTGAACATGCATTCATTCATTCATTCATTCATTCATTCATTCATTCATTCATTCATTCATTCATTCATTCATTCATTCATTCATTCATAATATGTATTAAAATCTAGGCACATTAACATACATAAACATTCTAGGCTCATAAATGTACATTAAAGTCTAAGCATATGAACAAATTCTGTGCATGCAGATGTTCATGAAATTGTAGGCCTGGGAACAAACATGAATTTTTAAGACATGTAAATGTGAAATAAATTATTAACTTATGAACAAACATGAAATACTAAGGCCTGTGAACATGAATACCATCTAGACATGTTAACAGACCAATAAATTTTAAGCATTTGAACAAACACAGAATTTTTAGGCATGTACACATTAGATTCTAGGCATTATGGAATATGAAATACTTTTAGGCATACATTTTGTATGAGCATGCATGCAATCTAGGCATGGTAACAATTACATTTACAAGCATTTTAGAAATATCATTGTGTATTAAAATTTAGGCATGTAATAAACATGCATGAAGTCTTAGACATGTGAAGATAAAAATTTGCCGGATAAAACATTTACCGGAATTCAGGCATGTAACTTAGATAAATAGCTACAAACATGCATATTACAAATTGAAAACAAAATATTTTTGCAAAACTTTGCTCCAGCAATGCTTAAGAAATGTCTTTTAAATATGTGACAATGGCAATAATAATTAAAGAAAAGTCAAAGTGATTGACATATTTCAGCAGATGAAGCAGAAAAGTTACGGAATATTGAGGATGATCTCCATAGCGACGGTGGGTCGGATACTGACACTTTACAACGAAAACTTGCCATTCTAACACATACTCCCTTTCACAACAATGTCACAGGTGTCTTGTTATATATACATATACTCTCTACTCCCCAATTGTAATCTCTACTCCCCTTTTATTTTCTCTACTCCCTTTTTTACTCTCTACTTCCTTTTATCTGTGTTCCTCCATTTTTATGGCTTGGCTTTTATTGTAGAATTTAGAGAGTTTTTCCCATATATATGAATACAATATATATTTGTTTATGAATTGTAGTGTATCCAATGTATGCCTCATCTGTTGTGAATAATTCTGTTTCACTTTATTTTTGCTTTTCTTCTGTAGGTTCATTGTATTTGACATATTGCATACAGTCATGTTTTTTGTAGATTCTGGCACTTATACACAAACATGCTAGTATTTTTATCATGCTGCATGTACAAGGGCTGTCCCACAAAGTCATTGATGATTATTGTAGAACAAAAAATTAAGGACCCAAGCCTATCCCACCTTTGCACAAGAGTATCTCCATCAATTTGAAAGAAAAAATGTTTTAAGAAAATGCAATGGTTTACAAGATATCAGTAAGTATTTTTACAAAAGAGCTTTGATTAGTTTGTATTTAAATGCTGTTATCCATGAATTGTTAGGACAGCCTTTGTATTATAAAGCTTTTAGTAATTACCTTGACATCCTAACACTTATTTAGTAGATTTCAGTATTATCACTTTATGCTTCTCATATTATTGTAGAATAGACATGTACAAATGAGCTGCGTCATGACAAAACCAACGTAATGCGTTTGCGACCAGCATGGATCCAGACCAGTCTGCGCATCCGCGCAGTCTGATCAGGATTCATGCTGTCCGCTTACCAACTCTATTACAAGTAGAGAAACTGATAGCGAACAGCATGGATCCTGATCAGCCTGCGTGGATGCACAGGCTGGTCTGAATCCATGCTGGTTACAAACCCATTATGTTGGTTTTGCCGTGACGCGGCTCAAATAATATTTATTTTGTAAATTTAAGAAACATGACCCAAAATTTACATACATCAGAATTATAAAAATATTTTTACCGGGAAGTCACCGGCCAAGGGAAAACTGAAGGGGTGCATGAACTTTTAAACAGAAAAATGAACAATTTTAAAACCGTTGACTTCAGTGTTAATAGGCTTTGCCTAATTTCATATTACTATTTTACATTTTTGAAATCATCTCTTCTTTTCATACAAACTTATTAATTTCTATTTTTATTGATAATTACAAATAAGTTTTCTAACCAGTGTTAAAGTTGTTTCCATAGGGAATAAAAAATATATTCTTTCACACATACACTGTAATGTTCAAACCGTCATAGATTAATTTATTTTCATACAATTTTGCACATATTTTTTGGATGTCCAAACATTTTTCAAGAAAAAAAAAATGTTTTAGTTTGGTAAGTCCAACAAAATATAACTTTTTGATATGTTTTAACTGGGACATAATATAATAGGACAAGTTCTGTCCAATCAGGGGCACACCCCCACGTTAAATGTCTTGTTGATTGAAGATAAAAAGTAAAAACATATACAAGTAAAATGGTTTCCTGCGGTGAACATTTTAATGATTTAAATGTCTTTCATTTAACTTTTTTCAACATTATTTGGGGTGGGGGGGGATCAATAAACGTTTGTATCAGGAATATAGTTGACAATTGAATAGAAGAAGGTCTTTGGAAACTGATAACCGTTGAAGACCGGAGAAGGTCGAACATAAAACAATTATTTCTTTTTAAGAAAATGATTAAATAGGCCTTCCCTTTTTATGAATAATTCCGTGCAAAAAAATAAATAAAGTAAACACACAAGTTTACGCAGAAAATATCTCTATTTATTATGGCAGATGCCACTACGAATATTTTAATTTTGTATATTTTCAGTATAAACAATTTATTGTTTGTAAAATTTGAGATAGATATTAAAGAAACATTGATAATTTTCAAACACATTCAAGTTTTTCCACCTTAAACGGTAAAATAATTATAGAAAATTAGAAATATCAAGCAATAGTTTTTTGTTCTTAATTATGTGTAATTCAGACTAATTCCCTACAGGTAAATCCGTAACGTACCGGCAAACGGTATTTAGCTAGGTTTTCGAAAAGGTCAATTAACCAATCATGTATGGTTTACAGATCACATGCTCCTCCATGTACAGAAAACAGGTCACGACTGCTCCTCCATGCCTCAAAAGTTAAACGCGTACCAATACCCTGCGGGCTCCAGACCGCAGGGAATAATTTTATATTATTATATCAATGAATTAAAGCAATGGCACTGTAGAAACAAACAAATGTTAGTATTTATGTTTTGTTACTTGCCACCTGTCAAAGGTGACTTCTAGCTTTCTGTTCCTTGAAGAGAGACAACTTTTTGTTCTGCAAGGTAAACCACTTTGTTCATCAAGGGGGACAACTTTTTATTTTTTCAGGAGACCACTCAAGGCAGATCTCTTTTTAATTCCCATTTATCAAGAGTGACAATAAAAGATTTGACTGTATAAAAAAATTGTCATTAATTATTTTCTGAGATCATGTTTTCATACACAAATCAATTTTCCATTATTCATTTCCAGGGGGAATATCTACATATTGTCATTAAGGTATTATGTTACCTTCCGTTTTGATCACACCTTGGTGGTACTGCATGAACATTTGTTTGGAAATGCAAGGGAAGCACATTGTTGAATTGCACAGTCATGTCCTTTAATTATGCTAGAAAGTAATGCTGAATAAATTTTTTTTATTGATTTAAGCTACATGCGAAAAAATATCATTTATAAATAGATGAAATGTTCAGATATGAAATTTTATGTTTTTAGTTTTTTAATTGAATATTTTTTTATTTTTTCAATTTATTTTTATTTATCGAAAAGTTGTATGTTAGATAATTCAATATTTTTGTTGTTTTTGAAGCTAAATAAATGCTTAAAAAAAAAACCTATGGTATGAGATCATTTTACTAATATTATATTTGTATTAAATTAAATATATTTTTTATCAATATTAACTGATAGTTTACTAGAAAATTTACATTCATTGAATTGAGTTGTTAATTTCTCTTCTTTTCTTTTCTCCCTTTTTTTTACAGATAACAAATTTATATCCTACTAAGATAGAGTCTTAACATGTAATATAACTTCTTCTATATTGAATTAATACAGATAGTGGTACTAGACCACTTGCAAGACCTCTCATAGAGCGTACAAAGAAGAAACTAGCCAGTTCATTGGAAATAAGGCCCCGCAAAGGTTGTCTGTGTGACCACTTTACACAATAGTTCACCATGTGTTGGTCTTTGTAATATTAAACACTGTATTGACCATGTGTTGTTTTGTGTGACACAATATTTCACAATGTATTTTATCTGTGTGACCTCTAACACAATATTTCTTCAAATATTGGTCTGTGCCACCTGACTAACACAATATTTTACCATGTCTTGGTTTGTATGACATCTAACACAATATTTCACCATGTGTTGATATGTCTTATATTTGACCTCTAACACAAAATTTTATCATGTCTTAGTTTGTGTGACCTCTAACACAATTTTTCACCATGTGTTGATATGTTTTATATTTGACCTCTAACACAATATTTTATGTTTTTTCTGTGTGACATGTAACACAAAATATTACCATATGTTTGTCTGTTTGACCTCTAATAGAATATTTTACCATGTGTTGGTCTTAAAATTTGACATGTAACACAATAATTCACCATGTGTTGATATGTCTTAAATTTGACCTCTAACACAATATTTCACCATGTGTTGATATGTCTTAAATTTGACCTCTAACACAATATTTTACCATGTGTTGGACTGACTGTGACCTCTTACACAATTTTTTACCATATGTTGGTCTAATTGTGACCTCTACCACAATATTTTACCATATGTTGGTCTTAAAATTTGACATGTAAGACCATAGTTTTTACCATGTGTTAGTCTGACTGTGACCTCTAACACAATAATTTACCATGTGTTGGTCTGACTGTGACCTCTAACACAATATTTTACCATGTGTTAGTCTGACTGTTACCTCTAACACAATAAATTACCATGTGTTAGTCTGACTGTGACCTCTAATGGAATATTTTACCATGTGTTGGTCTTAAAATTTGACATGTAAGACCATAGATTTTACCATGTGTTAGTCTGACTGTGACCTCTAACACAATACTTTACCATGTGTTGGTCTGACTGTTACCTCTAACACAATAATTTACCATGTGTTAGTCTGACTGTGATCTCTAATAGAATATTTTACCATGTGTTGGTCTTAAAATTTGAAGTGTAAGACCATAGTTTTTACCATGTGTTAGTCTGACTGTGACCTCTAACATAATAATTTACCATATGTTGGTCTGACTGACCTCTAACACAATAATTTACCATGTGTTGGTCTGACTGTGACCTCTAATACAATATTTTACAATGTGTTGGTCTATGTGACCTCTTACACAATAATTTACCACGTGTTGGACTGACTGCGACCTCTAACATAATAATTTACCATATGTTGGTCTGACTGACCTCTAACACAATAATTTACCATGTGTTGGTCTGACTGTGACCTCTAATACAATATTTTACAATGTGTTGGTCTATGTGACCTCTTACACAATAATTTACCACGTGTTGGTCAGACTGTGACCTCAAACACTATTTTACCATGTGTTGGTCTGTGTGACCTCTAGCACAATACTTTACCATGTGTTGGACTGACTGTGACCTCTAACAAAATAATTTACCATGTGTTGGTCCGTGTGACCTCTAACATAATATTTTACTGAGTTATGTGTTTCAAAACAATTAACCAATAGTAAACATATTTACTATTAATTGCACTGTGTATTTTGAAAATTATCACTGATATATCATACATTTTTCATAAACCACATTTCTTTAAATTAGATAAATATTAACAATTGTACACATATCTCAGTTTTACTAATTTAAAAGTAATAAAATTCTCTTGTTATATTAATTTCAAAAGGTGTAAATGCTAATATATATCTTTAGTCATTTATTTATTATAAGGTAGATTTTTTTACAGAATAGTTTTGCCATGTGATTTTTTTTTTTATGCCACCGCAGCATCTGCGATGCGGTGGCATATAGCGATTCACCTGTGTGTGTGTGCGTGTGTGTGTGTGTTTGTTTGTTTGTTTGTGTGTGTGTGTGTTATATAGATTATATAGTGAACTTCAAAAATCTTCTTGTGAAAAACCACTGGTCCAATTTCAACCAAACTTGGCAGGATTGATCCTTGTGTGAAGGCTTCCAAAGTTGTTCAAGAGAATTTCATTCCATGCAGAAATCTGGTTGCCATGGCAACCAAAAGGAATTATAAGAATAAATTTTAAAAAATCTTCTTGTAAAGACCCAAAAGGCCTAGAGCTTAGATATTTTGCACAAAAGCATTGTCTGGTAGACATCTACCAAGATTGTTCAAATTATAGCCCTGGGGTCAAAATCGGCCCCGCCCTGGGGGTCATTGAATTTCTCTATATGACATATAGTAAAAACGTAAAATACCCTCTTGTAAAGACCCAAAAGGCCTAGAGCTTTGATATTTTGCATAAAGCATTGTCTGGTAGACCCCTTACCAAGATTGTTCAAATGATAGCCCTGGGGTCAAAATCAGCCCCGCCCCGGGGGTCATTGGTTTTCACTATATGTACATATAGTAAAAACTTAAAATACCTTCTTGTAAAGACCCAAAGGCCTAGAGGTTAGATATTTTGCATAAGGCATTGTCTGGTAGACTTCTACCCAGATTGTTCAAATTATAGCCCTGGGGTCAAAATCGGCCCTGCCCCGGGGGTCATTGGTTTTCCTTAGATGTATAAAGTAAAACTTATAGTAAAAACAATTGACAAATGATAGAGGTTAGATATTTTGCATGAAACATTGTGTAGTGAACCTTTAGCAAGATTGTTCAAATTATAGCCCTGGGGTCAAAATCGGCCTCACCCCGGGGGTCATTGATTTTCAATATATACATATAGTAAAAAATCTTATTGTCTGAAGGTACAAGGCTTAGAGCTTTAATATTTGTTAAATGATATAATCTATAGGTACTCTACCAAAGTTGTTCAGATTTTGCCTATAGTGTCAAAATTAGCCCCGCCCCGGGGGCCATAGGTTTTCCTTATATGTATATAGTAAAATTTAAAAATCATCTTCTCTAAATTTATTAAGGCTGGAGTTAAGATATTTTGCATGAAACATTGTGTAGTGAACCTCTAGCAAGATTGTACAAATTATAGCCCTGGGGTCAAAATTGGCTCCACCCCTAGGGGTCATTGATTTTCACTATGTACATATAGTAAAAAAAATGTCTTGTCTGAAGGTACTTTAAGGCTTAAGAGATTTTATATTGGGTATGTAATATCATGGGTCCTCTACTAAAGTTGTTTTAAGTATGCCCCTAGAGTTAAAATTGCCCTGCCCCAGAGGCGATAGTTTTCCTTATATGTATAAAAGTTAAAATGTTGGGTCGTCCGTGGCCGAGTGGTTAAGGTCGTTGACTTCAACCACTTGCCCTCACCGCTGTGGGTTCGAATCCCGACAGGGACTTTGGATTCTTTCGTGTAAGGAAGCTATCCAGCTAGCTTACGGAACGTTGGTGGTTCTACTCAGGTGCCCGTTCGTGCCTGAAATAATGCACGGAGGGGCACCTGAGGTCTTCCTCCACCAGTAAAGCTGGAACGTCGCGATATGACCTATACTGTGTTGATGTGACGTAAAACCCAAAACAAACAAAAAAAATAAAGTTAAAACTTGAAAAATTTCTTCTCTGAATTGACAAAGGCTAGAGGTTAAATATATGGCATGAGACTTTGCGAAGTGAACTTCTACCAAGATTGTTCAAATTATAGCCTTGGGTCAAAATTGGTTCCGACCCGGGGGTCATTGATTTTCATTATGTACATATAGTAAAAAAAAAAAAGTATTTTTGTTTGAAGGTACAAGGCATAGAGCTTTGATGTTTGCTATATAATATCATCTATAGGTCCTCTACCAAAGTTGTTCAAATTTTTCCCTTGGTGTCAAAATTGGCCCTGCCCAGGGGCAGTGATTCTCATTATGAACACATAGTAAAAACAGAAAATAAAACAAATGTTTTCTGAATGGGAGAAAGCTACAGCTTAGATATTTGACTTGAAATGTTGTTTGGTGGACCTGTATCAAGATTGTTTGAATAAAACCCTTGGGTCAAAATTTTGCCTTGCCCAAGGGGAAAGTGACCTACTTTCTTATCCTTTGATGTACAGCAATGAAATTTTGACCATGTGCACAGTTTAAGTTGTAAAATTGAACTTTGATATCAGGTGATCTAGATTTTGATGATGTGACTTACTCTCTTGTCCTTTGATGTACAGCTATGAAATTTGAACCATGTGCACAGATTAAGATGTAAAGTGAACTTTGATATTAGCTGACTTAGATTTTAACAAAGTGTCTTACTGTGTTGTCCTTTGATATAGTCATGAAATTTAGGCTGTGAGAAATATGACCTTCACCACCAAATTAACAAGACTCAAGTGCATTGATATATTCCTACTCTGATCTTTTGTTGGATTAACAATAGATTCAACCACTAATCTGTTGATAAGAATTAGATAGGTCAGGGATCTATGCATTATGACAATCTTCAATTGTATAGAAACAAAAATATCAGTTCCTACACTACTATTTAGTGTTGTATTAATGCACACTACTATTTAGTGCTGTATTAATGCGGTGGCATAGCATTTTTCTCAAATGCAATCTTGTTTTCAGTAAGTGATTGATTGATGGATATGATAATGTTCAGCATGCATGATTGACCACATTTCATGACAACATATCGTTAACTTATATTTCTACTAGCATAATAATATTATGTAAAACTTTTACTGAAATTGTGTTACATATAAGAGTACAATTATTTTTTTGCCAGATTGAGTGCACTATAAAATTCGGTAATTAAAAGCAAATAAGTTGAGTCTCCTTTAGTTTGTGCATACTTTAAAAGAATTTGCAGAATAAAATGTAAATGAACAATTTTGGCTTAAAGGTTAAATATAAATTGCTTTCAATATTTGTGTTGAAATATTTAAAGAGACTCCACTGAGGATTTTTGACATGATGGGACTGGAAATTTATTCTTGGAGATTGTTTCATTTGATGTAGGTCTAGACCAATAACTTGTTTTCCGAATTGCAGATCATTCGCTCTCTCCATATTTACCAGAATGATAATTCTAAGTGTGAAAAATGATCCAAAATTGAAAAACGTTGCTTTGCTAAAATAGCACAAAAATACGATTTGTTTCTGCCACAGTTAATATTTGTAAGAAACTCAAATTTTATATGTTTTTAGGCTGTAAGAACTCAATGGAGTTGCTTTAAAGCCAAATAGTTTGTGTCTTAACCTCTTTCAGCTAGCTGAGTGCTTATAAACATATATACCAAACTTGTTTAAAACATTAAAGCATTTAAAAACGATTTCATAATATTTTGTTGACGAAGCATTTAAAGATTTTCTTAAAATTGTGAAAAAAATATTTTGCTCAAACCATGACTTTATTTTAGAGTTTTAATTATTAAAGAAAAAATGTAGTAGAAAATCAGTAGAAAAAGATCGATCTAAGATCTTACAAATGCAATCATATGATTGGTCTATCTCAGAACTATGCATGAATTATAAAATTATACAATTTAGACAGTTACATATTGCTTTTAATTATAATATATATAAGTTTTATGTTTTTGAACTTGCAAGATAATGCTTCACTAAGACTAAATGGTGTTGCATTCTTTTTAGTTTAAATATTTCAATTTTGATATTTAATTTCTCTGTATAAAATATTACACTGAAGATGAATTATATTTTGAAGTTAGTCATGAGCTATTACTATTTTTCAGCCGCAGGTCCTGGCACACCACCTGTATATCCTAAGCCGACGCCCACGACATCACTTCCACGCCCCTCAACTAGATCCGCCCTTAAATTTACACCAGGTCATGCCAGTGATGCTGATTCAGTCAAAACAGAAGATTTCGAATATAAATTTAAGGTAAGGATGATAATAAAAAATTTTCATTATAATACTTTACAACATAGTTTTTTTTGTTGGGTTTTATGTACAGGTTATATGGAGATTTAATTTCCAGCATTATTCCAGGCACAAACAGGCACCTGAGTAGAACCATCCACGTTATGTAAGCTAATTAGCTCCCTCTCATGAAGTCCGCCTCCGTGGCCGAGGGGTTAGAGTCGATGACTTCTAATCCAGGTACCTCTCTGGCGTGGGTTCGATCCCCGGGAGATGCTTTGGTAGTTTAGCGCGGAGGAAGGTTGTCTAGTACTGGTGTAACTCTCCAGGAACGATGGTTAGGAAACTACCCGCCTATATGACTGAAATACTGTTGAAAAAGGCGTAAAATGAAACAAACAAACAAACAAACCCTCTCATGAAAGAATCCAAAGTCCCTGTCGGGATTCAGACCCAAGCATTGAGGGGCAAGTGGTTTGAAGTCATCAACCTTAAGCACTCAGCCATGATTGCCTTTACAACTTACTTACAAGTTGTGCAGAGTTGGCTGCTACTGTCCTACTGACAGTGTCAGATTAACACTTGGCTTGATAGCAGCAACATATTCTACCCATGTGACCAGTGCAGACCAAGATCACCATATGACCTATACTGTGTCACTGTCACTTCAAACCCATTGAAAACAAACAAAAAAAACAATGGAAAATCTACAGGAACCAACAACAGATTAATAATATCTGTCATATGTTGCGGTTCGGACCGGAATATCCGTCCCGAGGTGACCCACCCATTGGCGGGTTACCAAGGGACGGATATTCCGATCTGAACCGCAAACATATGTCAGATATTTTTTCTTGCATATTCTTAAATATTTCATTATATTTTAAATTCTTTATCTTTATTTTCAACGCAAATTTATATCATTACAGACGTAACTATTTTCTTACAACAGCGTAACTATGAAATTGCAACTTCATTCATAACGGGAAAGTGACGTCATCCTAAGCATGCCATTGTACAACACGCGACTCATCTGGCACCCCCCATGCCAGATGAAATTTCCGACACACGAAAACGCCAGTTTGCTATACAAGAAATAGCCAAGTGAAATAGTCAATGACCAGTCAATGACCATCATTCGGCACAATTTGGCCATCTATGTGTTGACCCATCAAACTATGACCATAAACCACCCTGTATGAATTTGGCCACATCCCCTGGTCAATGATTATTGACTCTCTTATATTTCAAGATACCTTGTGAGGTATGACAACTTGAGCATTGACCTACAAAAAAAACATGATGTATATTCTTAGCATACTTTAAACCTTATTTGCAATAACTCCATTTTTATATCTTGTAAATATTTTTTTTTATTTTTAAATTTTACTATCAGGAACGGAATATTGGATTTTCTGAATTCCATTATATGGATAAGTTGTTAATATGATAAAACCCCCTTGTTCGACATGTCATAGATTTGATAATCATATGTTAGCTCGTTTGGTGGTGAAATACTACAATCATATGTCTGTAACTATGTGTTCAGATGAATACGTTGAAACAGGTTTACATTTTTTGAGCTTATCATTTACATTTATATGTTTGTACAAGACAAGGAGCTTGTCATTAGTGCTACAATATTTTCTTTTGCTGTTGACCTTTTCAAAATGAAGATATCAAATGTAAAACATTATCAGAAAAGGCCAATTTATTTGGCTTATTACTTCAAACCACTTGCCCCTCACCATTACAGGTTCAAATCCCAGGGATGTTGGGAAGCTATCCCGCCAAGCTTACTGAATATCGGCAGTTTTTTAGGATCCTACTGGTACCTGAAATAATGCATGGATGGGAGCCTGAGATCTCTACCTCCACCAGTAAAGCTTGGAAGTCACAAAATATGACCTTTACAATGTCGGTTCTGCATGTATGTAAAAAAAAACAAAAAAAACAAACAAACCGCAATTTCGTTATTTTATTATTTCCCTTGCCAGGTCTGCTGGCTGCTAAAGAATCATTTATTCAACAAGTGCATACCAGGAACAGCCTGTGCTGCCTGATTATGGTCTGCACTGTTCTCTTTTCAGTCAGAATATATTTTGTAGTTTTCCCTAAAATTGATTATTTTGTAGTTTTCCCTAAAAAATGATTAAATAGTTTTGTCCAGATTGATAAGTGGACATTTTTAAATGGACAAGTTCATTAAGGATGTTTAGCGAAGGGATTTTAAGGATTGTATTTTTACTTATCATAGATGCAGTAAAGATAAGTTCATGACCTATTATTCCCCTGACATATGCAAAATTTATATCTTAATTAGACTTTTCCATCTTTCAACCAGTGAACAAAACCATTAATCAATTATAGGGAAAATTTCAAATTATGTAATGACTGAATAGCAAAATAATGCAGACCATTAATTTGGTCTGGACTTGGACTGGTCACATTGGGGATACAGACAAAAGCCCCCCGGACAAAAGCCCCACCATCTAAAAATGACAAGGTGGACAAAAGCCCCCCATGAAATTTACACGGACTGGGGGAGGGCAGGGGGGGGCCTTTTGTCCTACCTGTATTTTTGAAGGATTTTGTCCTATGTGTAAATTTAATGGGGGGGGGCTTTTGTCCACCTTGTCATTGTTAAATGGGGGGGGGGCTTTCGTCCAGGGGGGGGGAGGGGCTTTTTGTCCTACACTAGTCACATTGGTATATTCAATTGCTGTTGCAAAGTTGGGGATACAACTTGTATATAGCTAGTTTATACTTGACACTGTAGTCATTGTCATCAGCCTTTTCTGTAAAAATTGACTGAATATTTTTTCTTAGTTTTAATTGTCTATTGATTTTGTTTCATATAGAACATGATGATAAATCCTGGAGGGAAGAGACAAGAAGAGAGTGACCTTGAATCTGTTAGCAATGACCCCATTCATACCAAGGTCAAACAACTTCTTAAAGCTACTGCAAAGTGTGAGTAAAAATCTGCCTTATATAAAAGTTGTTTGTGTCAGCATGCATTAAAAATAAATGGAAAAAACTGTTCCCTTTTGCTTGAATTATATAATTATACATGTATATTTTATAACCAGAAAGAGAACTGCATGCATGTGACTGTTATATATACTGGGTTCAGTGGAATTAAGAATTAAGTCAATATAATATCTGAATTATATTTAAAAAAAAAAAAGAACAACAACAAAAAACAGGAATTTAGTTTATAGTTATTAATCTTCTTAATCCTAATTTTTGAGTTTTTATACGAAGAAAATTTTACATTTTTGTGGAAAAAAATTGTTTTTAACAATATTGATGAATTAAATTTGATTTTAAAATGCACATTTTAAAAACGTTAATGTCTATAAAGCATGAATACAGAAGTATGAATAAATAAATATAGTATTTGTTTATATCCAGCATCTCAAAGAATAGTTACGGATTATAAAAAATCAGGTAGTTTTATTTTTGCTGGGAAATTTTTAGTTCAAAATGCATATTATCCTACACCTTTTTTTTTCTTATTAGAGGAGAAGTTGTGTTATATTAGTGTGTTTTATAGAATAGCTGAATTGATGAATATATTATCATCTTAGTGCAGTAATGGATTTACTCCTTGTATAATTCAATAGGAGATAACCCGTTACTGCACTAAAGTGATGATATAGAGCCTGCCATATATTTTGTGTTTTTTCCCCATTGTATGTATATAGCATTTTATATTATGAGTGTTTTTTATTGCTATGGTTACTATAGATAGCTGTTTTATTTCTATATCACTTTATTAGATTATTTCTTTACTTATATAAAATATATCACATTTTTAGTTCAAAGATTTTGTTTTCTGTTCAAAAATGATAAGGCCTGAATTAAGTTTCAGTTGGGAGGGGGTGGGGGGGGGTGAAGGGAGGAGAGCTTCAATTCAGTTTCAGTTATATCTTTTATGATTGCTTTGAACAGCTTTCGGTTGACAATGGCTTGAATCACTGCTCAAACTCTTAGCCTGGTTCTACCCAAGCAACCAGTTAAGACCAACATCAGCTGCCACATCCTAATAGATAAATTAGCTTTGCCTAGACGGCAGCTTTTGTTTAGCTGGGTACTCATCCAAATATATCTCTTTATAAATTACACAGATAACTTTAGAGAATAGAAATGTTAGAAATTACACCAAACAGAATTATTGTGTAGACTGCAAATGTTATTTCTTAGAGACTAAAATCAGTAATTGTATATATGGTAGATTATTATCAAATCATCCTATATTTTATTCAGATTTGCATGTAGACAAGAGCAAAAAGTAATTTTTACCTGCTTGTATTGAATCTTTTATTTTTTATTTCTAACACCCTAAGTGAATCTTTAAAAAAAACTTCATGCCATGCCTTAAAAAAATTGTGAAAAATTTTACTTGAGAAAATGATACCAAGAAATGAAGAAAACATATTGACATTAATCTATTTGTCATTGAATTTACTTTTTGCATCATTTTTTTTGTAAACAAAATAACAAATGCTAGCATTGCTTTCCTGACTTATAAGTGGGTCAATGATTACAGGTAAAATTAGAACCCCTGTCTTATCAGGGATCCAGACCTTATAGGCAAGTAAATATGGGATGTTTATAAAGGGACTTTTTTGGGAATTTTTATTTTGGCCCAAATTAGCTAGTGAATATCACTTTATTTGTGCACTTTGTTATGTTTTTGCTATCTAGAACACTTCCCAAATTTTCCTTAAAGTTAGAATGAATCAAGAGATATATGTTGCCGTAATACCCAGAATGATAAATGCAACTTGAATTGTCATTTTGCTTGTTATAAAAATTCATTTTTTCCTTTATGGAATTGTTGTTTTTTTATTTATTAGAAAGAATTTTTATTGCTGTTTTTAACAATTTCATAAAGAATGCAATCAGCATTTTCGCCATATTGTGTTCTTTGTAAAGAAGTAATAATTTTAAGATTTCAGTTTTTAAATTTTGATAATGCGATAAATTATGAAATAGTTTTTAAGTTTTATTAAAATTTTAATAACAGTTGAATTTTAGCTTAAACAATTCATGAAAACTGTTTCTTCTTTCATATATTATTTTTTTTATCTATAACAGACAAGCCCAAATCAGATTACAAAACAAAACAACACGTGAGAATTTCACCTCAGCCAGTACAGTATCAGGAAGATGACAAGGGAGAAGACTCTGATGATACTCTGTGTTCTGATAAACCCAGTTCTGTCCCTTCTTACAGGTAAGTCTCTTTAGAGTAAAGCAAGAAATATAAGTTATAGTTTAAGTTTCTTTAAATTTAGGAAATGGTAAATGTAGTTTTGAAGTGACCTACATGTATATAATGAATTATTTTAGGTGAAGTTTCAATCATGTAAAACAATTGTGTATTAAATATTAGTGTATTAGAAAAAAACATTTGTTTAAAATACAGGTAGTTATAGCAGATAGCTTATAATTGAAAAAGTATCTCATAGTTTGTATGATATAGTATGTTTATTTGTATGTTATTGAACATTTATTTGTTTGATATAGAACATTTTATTTGTATGATGTAGAATGTTTATTTGTATGATATAAATATATAAAAAGAATTTGATTCCTTGTGTGGATCTCATGTATGTATATATAGAACATTTTTTGTATGAAATAGAACATTCATTTGTATGATATAGAACAATTATTTTTATGATATAGAACAGAGATTTTATGTTTGCTAGAGAAGTAACTTAATTCAGATTATTTAATGGAAAAAGATCATAAATATTTGGAAAGAACACTTCTGTTTGTTTAAGCAAACACACATAAAGTTCATAATTCTTGCATATCAGACAGGATTTTCTAGTACTTTTTCTTGCACCAGTGCTGGTTAATGTTGTATTTAGCTCTTTGGTGAGGGGGAGTTAAACAGGAAATTGGCACTTGTAACAGGCATTCTCAAACTTAGATGTTTATATGCCTTCAAGCCAGATATTATGGTTTCAAATTTTATGAATTAATTATTTTTGTCTCCTTTAAAAGAAGCAATATGGACTTGTTGTGTAAGGTCAAATGTCAGATCCTATATTAGTGGATATATATAAACACAACTGGAGTCATCTTGAATAGCTGTTATACAATTTTATAATTGAACCACATCACGACAAAACCAACATAGTGCGTTTGCGACCAGCATGGATCCAGACCAGCCTGCGCATCTGCATAAGTATGTTCATATTCCAATGTGACCGCAAATGATTTCACACAGACATAATTGAAACAATTCTGGTTTCGTGCCTCATGTAATTAAGGCTTCCGTTATTAAAAAAATAAGCCACACCCTTAAGTGGGCCGGACAAATAATCCCTTGTAAACTATCTCATCATATAAAAAAAAGACAAAAACCAGGAATTAATACCTTCTTTAAAGTTTAATTAGACTTTAATAGGTGTGTTCTGATAAGCTATACAATATGTAGATATGCCAAGAATTTTCCTAAAGCCTTTTTGATTGATTGAAAACATGTAAAGAAGCTGTGCCACAGAGTGTGACAAAATTTCTTAAATATTACATTTAGTTTGAAATGAAGTATGCTTTTCTGTAAGTATTCTGTAAATGTTATGAAATAGCAAATGATAGATTTTGTTGAAAATTTAAAACAGTTGAATATATTGCAACTTAAATATCAAAAGAGCATAGAAGCAGCTTAGCCAGGAATTCAAAAAATTGGTATTTGTTCTTGCCAATTTCATATTTTATGATTTATAATTTGATTATAGTGAAGGAAAACATTAGTATCATATCAAAACCTATAAGGTAAGAACTCCCCAACATAGTTACTGCGGCCTATCATCAAGTCTGGCTATACTTTGGTGCAAACAATAAAAATTTGTATGCAACAACTCATCAGAAATCTTAATTGCCTGCGTTCAACTTTTTTGTTGACCGTTCGTCGGAAGATATATCTAGTTGTAAGACAAAGATGCTTTAAGCCCTTCTACAAGATGTGTCTGCAATACATGTCTGGAAAATCAAAATGATAAGAACAATAGCTTACTGTGACTATAAAATGACCACATATAGCTGCACTATGATACTTTTTGCTCTTTCAATGAGCAATGCGAATGAAAGAAAATTTACATGTCTATTGAAATGTTAAATTTGTTTGCGTAATTTCCACACTTAAAATTTCAACATTGTTTTGTATTGAAAAACAACATATTTATATGTTTTGTCTTTAAATGTTTAAAAATGCAACGATTAAATCTTCATTAAAAGTTATTAAAAAATTAAAAATAGCTTAATTAAAAAGCAGGTTCGTTACAGAATACAGATTTCAATTCAATGGAAAAGTCTTTCCGAAGAAAGCTGCCAAGTATTATGGAATAATTTCTTGATGAAATAAAACACCATGAGATGTTTCGTCAGTAAATTAAGCATGTTGTCTTTATATTATTGTTGAAACTGGAGCCACCGCTGCACTCATTTATACCGTAATGATTCAGGTTCCGACTTCGGAATATAATATATGAGGTTGAGAAATACAAATTGAAAAATAGACGTGAATAATATAATATTGAAATAATGTTGTCAAAAGTAATGACATATAATTAAAGTGGACAACCGTCACAAATTATATTATACATGGATATCAATTGTGAAATATTTAAAAAACAACATGAATTAAATCAGTCATAAAATACAATAAAAAAGGACAGCAGTCATGCAATATATAAAATAATGTGGATAGCTAAGTCATGAAATACAAAAAACATGGACGGTAGTCAGGAAATATAAAAAAACGTGGATAGCAAAAAAACAAAGATTATGAGCAGTCATGCAATATACTTAGAACGTGGACAGCATTCATGACATAAAAAAAAACGTGAAATATAAAAAAAAACTTGTTTAGCAGTCATGTAAAACAATAAATGTAAATAATAACTTTGATTATAGAATTTACAAAATAAAATAAATCTTTGAAAGGTTTGTTAGATTCACTACTTAATAGGGATAGCCATCACAAAATATATATTTATTGTGAATAGTTTTGTTTCTGGACTGAAATAAACTATATATACATAGTGAATGTGAAATATAAATAGGATAGTGAATGTGAAATATAAACGTGGATAGTAAATGTGAAATAAAAACGTGGATAGTGAATGTGAAAGATAAACATGGAAATTGAATCACTGTGAATATGAAATATAAACGTGGATAGTGGATGTGAAATATAAACATGGAAATTGAATCACTGTGCAAACGTGGATAGTGGATGAGAATTATAAACTTGGATAGAGATTGTTATCCTTCAGGTAAGATATTGTAATATTTTCCTTTATATTTATCACTCTCATTTTAATCTTAATCTATTTTTCTTTTAACTTTGCCTACTAAATCTGTTGGTACTTTTACTTTCAGCTTTAATTAGTTTTTCATTTTTTATCAATTTCTTTTTGCTTTGATAGCTTGACAAGGAGGTCTATGGTTAGTATTTTACTAGTTGTCGAGCAACTTGTGCATTTCTGACAAATAAGTATATGTAATATGCTCTTTTTCTAGTTGCCACATTTTATTAAGATGTGTAAACACAATTATCATTTTGAATGCTTCTGGTAAAATATGACTAGCCTTATGTTACCAATATATAGTGTGGTTCAAATTAACTATTAAGGATTTTTATCAGGAAATATAATGCCAGTTTTGAGACTTATGAAAGTAAACTTGAGTGGTTCAATTTATAACTCTTACTATTTTAAATTTGTATAATAAGCTAATGCTATCTTAAACCTGGAATTAAAAACTGTTATATTCAGGTATTTATATATGAAATACAATCAGTCATGTACTAAGCAAAATAAAAGAGCTCCAGTAGTGAAGACTGAGAGAATGTGCGTGCAAGCCTGTTTCTTAATACAAGTGACAATTTTTATTATGAAGTTATTATTGCTTAAAGAATTCAGCGGTCTTAATACAAAAGTTAATATACAAGGTAATCATGGAATATTCTTGATGTTGATTGTTGATGACTGTTACAATCTCTGAGGTTGATTAAATTGAATAAAGTTGGCTTCTTAAAGTCATAGACAATGTGATATTCAGTGTTTCATTTTGTTTTATTATAGTAACAGTGGCACTTATTTCCTCTTGAGAAATGATGAAATTAAATGTTTCCATGTGCATGTGTTAAGTAGTCAATGATCAATGACAAATTCAATCTATTACATAAATGCTAAAAATTGATTTGTGACAGTCAGTCAATAGATAACAACATTTGGCTGCAGTATTGATTTTCCTCATTCATTATTCCTTCATGTTAGTTAGGTTCCATTCAACCTTCCATGCACGGTTCCATTCAACCTTCCATGCACATTGAGTACAAACCCTGCAAGTCCTACTAAGCCAATTGCACATTTCATGCAGTCTGACCTTTCCATGCAGTCTGACCTTTTCCATGCAGTCTGACCTTTCCATATGGCTTTACCTTTCCATGCAGCCAGACCTTTTCAATGCAGTCTGACCTTTCCATACAGCTTTACCCTTCCATGCAGACAGACCTTTCCATGTAGTTCTACCTTTCCATGCAATCTGACCTTTCAATGCAGTCTGACCTGACCTTTCCATGCAGTCTGACCTTTCCATGTGGTTTGACCTTTCCATGTTGTCTGAACTTTCAATGCAGTCTGACCTGTCCTTTCCATTCAGTCTGACCTGTCCTTTTCATTGTGGTTTGACCTTTCATGTGGTCTAACCTTTTCATGTGGTCTGACTTTTCCATGCGGTCTTTCCTTTCCATGTGGTCTGACCTTTCCATGCCATTTGACCTTTCCATGCCATTTGACCTTTCCATGCAGTCTGACCTTTTCATGCGGTCTGACTTTTCTATGTAGTCTGACCTTTCCATGTGATTTGACCTTTCCATGTGATTTGACCTTTCCATGCAATTTGACCTTTCCATGCGATTTGACCTTTTCATGCAGTCTGACCTTTCCATGCAGTCTGACCTTTCTACACGGTCTGACATTTCCATGCAGTCTGACCTTTCTATTATGGTCTGACCTTTCCATGCAGTCTGACCTTGGCTGATTAATATTTCCAATCAACACCCTTTAAATCAAGAACGAACAATTCTATATATGCAAAGAATGTCAAGTTCATTTATTATACAAATATAGGCAGGGAAGAGTTCAAATTGAACCATATTGTGTTTTGCATGCTGTGCTGAAGTTGTAACAATTTTACGAAATGTAAAAACCTCAA